AGTGCCGAACGGACGGCACCTCCGCGTTCAACGCACGTGCGACTTGATGACACCTTCAGCTCCTCGATCTAGTGAGCGATGGTGAAGTAGTAGATTGAGTTCCCGGCAGCACGACAGCATGGTGGCGGTGGTGGTGGAGCAATCTCAGCAGAGCTTCACTAAGCAATCCGAGAGAGAGAGAGAGAGAGAGAGAGAGGAACTATGAGGGAGACGAAGGGCAGCGCCGTGGCATGAATGGGTGCGGTTGCGCTCCCTCTCCCCTCTATATATAGGGGAGTAGGAGGAGGTAGGGGCTCCCTAGGGTTTCCCTCTAGGTGGTGCGGCGGCCACCAAGGGGAGGCATCCTAGGGTTTGGGTGGCGCCCCCTAGGAGCCTTCCCTCCCAAGCAAGGGGGCGACTGTCCTAGGGGGGCGCCCCACCCTCTTGGCCAAGTGGGTTGGGGTTTGGGGTGGCACCCAGCCCCTTGTGGGATGGTGTGCCCCTCTCCCTTGGCCCATGAGGCCCCCCAACACTTGCCCCCGCCCCAAACCCTTTTTGGTTCTCCGATGGAACCCTTCACCTTACGGAACACTTCCGAAATCCGAATCCCTTCATCCTATATATCAATCTTTACCTCTGGACTATTCCAAAGTTCCTCGTCATGTCCAGGATCTCATCCGGGACTCCGAACAACCTTCAGTCACCAACATAATAACTCAACAATACTTAGATCGTCACCAAACATTAAGTGTGTAGACCCTGCGGGTTCGAGAACTATGCAGCCGTGACCGAGACACCTCTACAGTCAATAATCAATAGCAGGAACCGGTTGCCCATATTGGTTCCTACATATTCTACGAAGATCTTTATCGGTCAAACCTCAATTCCAAGGACTCAGCTAATCCCGTATGCAGTTCCCTTTCTCCATCGGTATGTTACTTGCCCGAGATTCGATCGTCAGTATCTTCATACCTAGTTCAATCTCGTTACCGTCAAGTCTCCTTACTCGTTATGTAATACAAGATCACGTGACTAACTCCTTAGGGCATCTCCAGCCGTTGGCCCCCCAGGGGGCGCCTAAAATCGCCGCCTGGGGGTGAGCCGGCACAAAAATTGGGCCTGGGGGCGAGTTGGTCCCCAGCCGCCGGCCCTAGGGCCGCCCCCAGGCACGTTTTAAAATAAAAGAAGTTCGGCGAAGTTCGGCTAAAGCACGATGAAATTCGGCCAAACACGATGAAATTCGGCCAAACACGATAAATTTCGGCACATTTCGGCGAAGTTCGCGGATTTTCATTACATAGCTCATATACGTAAACTAATCTAAAGGAAAAACTGGCTGAAGTCGCCGCCGTCGCCGCCATCATCGTCGTCGACCTTCTCTTCCTTGACGTGGGCGCCCCTGCTGGACCCCTGCCCGGCGTCGCCATGGCGGACTGGTGGCGGCGCATCATCATCGTCGTCTTCGCTGTCGCAGATGACAACGACTCCGCCTTCGTCGCGGCCGCGTTGACGCTCCGTGAAGCAAAGCAGGGCGGCGCGCTGGCGCTCCTTCGCCTTCTCCAGGCGCTCCTTCTCCATAGCTATGGAGTCCCTGCGCGCCCATTCCAGGGCCATGTCGTCGTTGTCGAGCTCCGTCGTCATCGGCGCGGTCGGCTCCTTCTTCACCGGTGGGAGCCCCGGCTCCGTCTTCACCGGCGCGAGCCCCGGCTCCGTCTTTGGCTTGACGAAGCGCGGAGGAGGAGCCGACGAGCAGGTGCGCCGGCCGCCCTTGTTGATGACGATGTCGGCGCTGCGAGTGCGCCGGCCGAGCGACGTCTCCACCGCGGGCTCGGCCTTGACGCCGAGTAGTGCCGGAGTGCCGGAGGAGTGCGATGAAGATCGGGAGGAGGAAGAAGAGGAGAAGGACCCGAACCTCCTTGGCGCCCATGGCCCGGCGCGTCGGTGCTGCGTCGGGGCGGCCGCCCTCGCCGGGTACGCCAACGGCGGGTCGTTGCCGCCCTCGAGGTACGTCAGCACGCCCTCGAGTGTGCGGCCGGGGACGCCCCATCATAGGTGGCGCCCCTCGCTGTTCTGTCGGCCGCCAACCACCGGTGCGCCGTTGATGGACGCCAAGCGCTGCTGCTGGCGGCGCTCGAAATACGCCTCCCAAGCCGCGTGGTTGTCGGCGGCGTACTGGGGGAGGGAGAGTTGGGCGTCGGTGAGGGAGGCGCGCACGACCTCGACTTCCTCGGCGAAGTACTGCGGCTTCGCCACGGCGTCGGGCAACGGAGGAATGGGCACTCCCCCGGCGCTGAGCCTCCACCCTGTCGGCCCGGCGCGCATGTCCGGCGGCGCCGGGATGTTCGCCTGGAACAGGAGCCAGGACTCCTGTTCGCGGAGCGAACGACGGCCGAAGCCGTTGGCCGCCGCCTCGTCTCCGGGGTAGCGTTCCTCCATGGCGACAGGCTCGGGAGAGGTAGAGAGATAGATGGAGGGGCTGGGCGGCGACGCTCGGGAGAGGTAGGGAGAGGGAGGAGCTAGGCGGCGGTGAGGGACGGGGCTGGTGTGGGCACAGGCGAGTGCAGGCCACTGGCTATATAGCCGCGCCGCACCCGTGTGTACGCGTGCGAGGGAGGGGAGGCGTCGGCGCGCCGTCCCGTGATGCGCCGCCCGTGAGGAATCAATGGCAAGGCTGACCGGCGGCAGCCTTGGCATTGATTCTCCGCGGGAACCGAGGCCGTTGGGGGAAGACGAGGCGCCGTGTCGCTGACGCGGTGGGCCCACGGCTGTTTCGCGCCAAAACAGTTCGCCCCGGCGCCCCCGGGCGCCCCCTAGCGCGCCGGGTTCGGCCTGGGTCCGCCGGCGCTGTTTTCGGCCCAGGCCGGCGAAAATCGGGCTCCTGGGGGCGCGACTGGTCCGTTTTTTTGGCGCCGACACGAAAAAATCGCCTGGGGAAGCCTTCCTGGGGACGCGGCTGGAGATGCCCTTAGTCACATTGCTTGCAAGCTCATTGTGATGTTGTATTACCTAATGGGCCTCGAGAAACTCTCCGTCATACAGCATGACAAATCCCAGTCTTGTTCCATGCCAACTCAACAGACACCCTCGGAGATACATGTAGAGCATTTTTATAGTCACCCAGTTACGTTGCGACATTTGATACACACAAGGTACTCCTCTAGTGTCAGTGAGTTGCATAATCTCATGGTCATAGGAGCAGATACTTGACATGCAGAAAACGATACCAATAAACTTGATACAATCATATGCTACGTTTATAGTTCAGGTCTTGTCCATCATATTATTCTCCTAATGATGTGATCTCATTATCAAATGACAACTTATGTCTATGGCTAGAAAATCATAGCCATCTTTGACCAATGAGCTAGTCCGGTAGAGGCTCACTAGGGACATGTTGTTCTATATGTATCCGCACATGTATTTGAGTTTTCAGTCAATACAATTATAACATGGATAATAAACGATTATCATGAACAAGGAAATATAATATAGACACTTTATTATTGCCTCTAAGGAATATTTCCAACACATACTTGTGGTGATGACTCTAGATCCCTCAAGAACATTTACTATCAAACACTATTTCACATAATTTAGTCTCTTTTATTTTTTGTCCTTCATTTTGTCGTTCGTAGTTTAGTTAAACTCCCTTTTTATCGGTCTTCCTAGCAACTGACTATAATGGACTATTTCCAAACTCATGTTTGGGTGCGTATGGAACTACGTAAAGTGACAACATAGTTGCGGGGTTTATGTTGTCATTCTATTCGCTTCATGTGAGATCGACAAACCTTATTTACCGCAAAATTGCTACAAAATCCATGTGCATATGTAGGACATCAAAAAGTTTGGCCGCATGTTTGCGTCGTGGAGGCACACCGAGTGGATGTCGTAAGCATGTGCCGCCTGCGCTGCCGACTAGGAGGAGCTGATCCAAATGTGTTTGTGAGTTTCGTTGTCGGTGATCTCTGTCACCCAATCCCGCATGACCGTTGTTGCACGCCAAGGTACCTCCTCTGCGACGTCGGCAGTGGTGGCAGGTCAAGGAACCGGGAGGAGGACGTGTTGTCGCGACCTCGGGCTCGAGAGCGTCGAGTGGTGCTTCTAATCGACAGCGGGGACCTAGTCATTTGGGCGGCGGGGCGCGCCGGAGTGGATGTGGGGGCATGCCGGCAAGATGCAGAGTGCTCAAGCGGCGGCTGAATGGATGAGATCGAGCGGCGTGAGGGGAAATTTTATTACTCCAGCGGGGGCGGCCAAGTATATTTAAGAGTCAAGCGTGCAGTGGAGTAAAAAAATTAGGACTCGAATATCTAGCAAACGTCAGATTTTTAGGCATGACAAATCTAACATTTTCTATGCTTGCCAAGAGTAGCAAGTTTAGTTGACATGCATGGCACATCCGAACAATTTTTTTGCCAAGAAAGTGTTGTGCTTGTCAACTAAATTTGTCATCCTTATGCCAATATAAATTACCATGAAAAATGTTTGATTTGCCATGCCTAAAAATTTAACGTCAGATTTTTAGCACTTCCAAGGTTGTACTCTTAAATGTTACAGTACACGGGATCGGTTAGGTGCGGTTTAAAGGAGGAATCATGTTTTTTACTCCTCTAAAACTTTGCAAGGAATTAAGCTTTACAAGGGATCGGTTAGAGATGCTCTAGCAGCATGCTACTGCTAATTATACATCAAGAAAATTACACTTTGCTTAACCAAACACCGACGAAGACACTCCTCTCATGGTTAATAAACAAGGGAGATACATATAGCTAGCCCCAACACTCCTTCGGAGTTAAAACACTAACAAGCCATAACCCGACAAGCGTGCACCATTTACCAAACACAAGATCAGACCTTCTGCTTCTTCTGATCGCAATTCATCAGAGAGCAACCATACATTACCCAGAGAAGTTCAGAAGAGAAAATGGAAGGGCAACCATGCAGTACACTTCCTGTACTGGATTGCTATATAAAGCTGCACATGCATTAGAAGTTCTTCGTAACTCAAATGCGCGTAATCAGTAGCTCCACAAGCTGACCTCGCCGTCATCGTCGCCGTCTCCGACAGTCGCTGAAGGGCCTGCCATCGGAGGAGGGGCAATGAGCATCCCCTGCGCCATGTCGAGGTAGCCCTGCATCCCGAAGTCCATCCCATCGTCCATCCCATAGTACGGATCACCGGCGAACTGCTCCGTTGGTGCAACTGCTACCTCCTCGGCGGCCGCATTGCTCTGGTCGGGTGCCGGCAGGAATGCCTCAGCCGCCTCCACCGCCGCCCGCCGTATCTCATCAGGGCTAGCACCCACGGGCGGGACCCGGAGCCGCCGAGGCGAGTCGGCGAAGTTGAGGCAGGCGGCGCGGCCGCGCAGCGCCAGCGCGGCCACGTCGTGAGCGCGCGCCGCCATCTCCGCGGTCTCGAACGTGCCGAGCCATATCCTCTGCTTGCTGTGCGGCTCCCGCACCTCGCAGACCCACCTCCCGGGGTTCCTCCGGCGCACGCCCTTGTAGACCGGGTGCCGCGTCTCCTTGAACTTGGTCCGCCCGGCGCGGCGCTTCGGCGGCGCCGAAGACACCGTCATGTACGCCGAGAAGCCCTCGCTGTTGCCGCCGTCCGCGCCCACCGGGGACGGCGTCCCTGACGAGTAGTCGCTGCTGAGGGCACTGAGGTCCATGGCCGGCTATGCTGGCTGCGAGTGTAAGCTGGGGGAGGAAGTGGAAGCAGGTAGTTTGGATTTGGGAGGGAAAGGTGGCGGTTTATATAGTTTAGCGCGTGGAGCGCGACGTCCCCGCGTGCACGGCTCAACGCGGTGCGGCACCGGAGGCGCCAGCCAGGTAGCGCGACTTGCTGGGTCGGGAGAGTGTTGGGCTCGGGGGCGTTAAGTGGGTCGGAACCAGCTGGAGCTCGCGGGGGTGCGGATGGGGACCCACGCGACGCGCAGGCATGGGACGGATGTGGGCCACTCTACTGTGCTCCTGGGCAACGGGGCTCTCTTGTGACAGCAACGTGCCTTGAAAGAGAAAGCTCGCCGTGACAGCTTGTCCTCAAGGCGGGCAGTTTGACGCGAACCCGTAGGATAATGCAATTTACTGTCAATAGAATAGAACTGTTGTTGATTCTATTTGCACAGCAGTTCGACTCTACATAGGAATTTTTGCACTGTTAACGCTTTTCAGTCTACAAGTTCAGGAATGTCAGCTGGCTCACATTGGGGGAAAAGGCACTCTCGGCACCTTGGACCTGTTTTTTTTAACATGGATCAGATTTTTAACATTCTCCAGCAGACCCTCCAGATTTTGGCCATGTGAGAACATCTACAGCCCGACTTAATAAATCTGACCCCTTAAACGCCCACGAACACGCCGTTAACAAATCTAACCCCTTAAACGCCCGCGGACACGCACGGCATGTCTGCGGACACTGACCGGTCACGCCTTAAATATTTGATTCTAAAACCGGATGTCTTAGATTAGAAACCTGAAATCCATATTATTGCATGCAACGCAAACCGATTTTTAAGCGGAGCTCGTCCGGTTCCGCCGTGCCCATGTCCGGCGGCTGGCTGCGCTCCCAGAGTGTTGGTCCGGACGCCGGCAAGGTAGAGTAGTGCATGGGACACAAGCCGGCGCATGGGGCTCAAGGCGCCATTGTCACCCATGTCCTATTTTTCCTCGTCGGAGCCCGGAACCCGAACGGTGCTCGTGGACGTCAGATAATGATGGATCCGTCTTGGGAGGAGCAGTTGACATCCACGACGACACGAGCGCGGCGCACGGGGTCACAGGCCATCTGTCGGGGCGCCGAAGAATGCGACTCCGCCTCTCCAGCGTCCACCGCCGCGAGCGCCGCCGCTACCTCCCGTGCCCGCTGCCTCACACGGCGGGCACGCCGCACCATGTTTGCGTCAGACGACGCCCATGGTGTGTCCATGGCCTTGGAGCGCCAACAAAGGGGTTGTGCGTCCGCCACCGTGTTCAGACGCCAGACGAACCGCACCGCCTCCGGCGAGGCAGCGACGGCACACCTAGCTCCTAATCCATGCGCCATTTGGACGAACGTAATGGATTTTCGACGAAAGGAGTCCGAGCTCTGCCTCTCACGGGCCCCCTCGCGGGAGCGGCGTAGTGCAAGCCGGACAACTATCTTCTCCTCAGGGGCGCGTGGGATGAGCTCGGAGTCGACGGATCTGGAGGTGAAGAACTCGGATCCGCTACCCGCCATGTCGGAGATGGCCGGAGATCGTCGGATGGGAGGTTGGGTGGCGGAGGGGAGTGGACTGAAGTGGCTAGGGTTTGGTCCAGTGAGCGAATGGGAAAGACTATATGTGGGGTCAGGTGGGCCAGCATGGGCCGGATCCGACGTGACGGACGCGCCCCGGCGACCACTTATCCGCCCCATATTTGAGCTGGATATGATGAATGTCGGTCAGCCCGATCGTTGAGACCCGTTTGAAGTGTCCACTTGGTTGAATTTTCATGATCGGTCGGACCGTCCGCCTAGGCGTTTGAGACGGTTTTGAGACGCCCGACTGTAGATGCTCCGAGAAAAGATAAATTTGTTATACTCCCTTCATAAAGAAATATAAGACTTTTTAGATCATTAAAGTAGCAATTTAAAAGGTCTTATATTTCGTACAGAGGAGTATTTGTGTACAAGGATTTGTCATGTTCTAAAGTAAAATTGCTATGTATAGAATAAAAATAATCAGGAAGAAATATAATGTTACATTGAGTAATTGTCATGCATTTAATCAGGATTCGACGTACATGAGGGCGTCAGATTTTAACGCTAAAAATCGGACTTCTAGACTAGCCGGGAGACGAAGTATATCTAGATGCAATGAACGTTTCTTTTGGCCGGGGAACACACTGCAACGGGTCGAATCATGTGGTTCCACAAAGGATCCACACAACACGGTTACATGGCAGTTATATTGGACATGGTCTGAGAGGGTGCCAATGGTGATGGACAGTGACGTTGGTTCGTTGTTGCTGCCTGTCTCCGTGCTCCAGAGCTGGTGGGATTTTGCAACTGGATAAATGGCGACAGTTGGTTTGCAGTTAGGTGGCTAGTTGGATTTTCCGTGTATTTAATGATTCTGTATGGATTTTTCGCAGCTAAAATTGAACATACCCCTCGTACTATTTGACTATTTCTTCTTGATGTTGACATCTCTAAAGTCTAGAAATTTTTGTCTCTTTCTTTTAAAAAGAAAAGTAGCAACTGTAGAACAACATGCCACTGCCACTAGAAGGAAGTAGCCGGAGCACGGAGGTCTTATTTTTCTCAGTTTTGCTAAAGCGCATCTAGATGCGCCATAAGTATTGCACATCTAAATCCTATATCATTGATCTTATGTTGAGATTCGTGTGGATATTTTCTTTTTTTTTCTTTTCCTCTTCATACTTGATTCACTCACTTAGATGTGCAATAAGTAGGGCACATCTAGATGTGCCCTAGACATTCCCTATTTTTCTGTTATCAATTAACGAAGGACATAGAGTGTTCATTCCTAAATATAAATCTTTTTAAGATTCCAACGCAGACTACATATGAAGTAGAATGAGTTAATCTACATTCTAAAATATGTTTATATACATTCATATGTAGTTCGTATTGAAATCTCTAAAAAGATTTATATTTAGAAACAAATGGAGTAAATTACCAAACTCCCACAAAATGAAGCACTATCCTGTGTTGAGAATGTGGGGGTGTGTGGACCAACGTTATCAACCTATGGGTGTTGCTTACGCTGCGGGATGGCCCATTTGAGAGTAATGTGTGCCTACCTCTAGAATTTTCTGGCTCACCTGTACGTGTGGGTGTACGATCTGGCGGCTGTGCGGAGAGGCGGCTTGAAGGGCACTCAACAGTAGAGAGCTTGGCGGCTGGGAGCAAGCGGCTCAGATCTCTACCTTTGCCCTCTGCATCTCGCCTCCCCCTCTCTCTTTTCACATCCATGCCGCGGCTCGTTCCAATGGCGACGACAAGTAAAGTATGTGGCGGCACATGGCCGAGTGCCATCCTTATCCTGCGGTGCTACGAGGGGGTATGGTGAATCGAAATCTCCAAGGCTGCATGGAGGGAGTAGGTAGTCATCGGTTGTGGCTACAGTGAATGCCAAAGAAGGAAGGATGGTCCTTACCTAGTTGATGATGGATTAATAGTATGGTATAACAACTCTATGATCATCTGCTTGGAGTTCACTATGGTTCTCGTCAAGGTCAAAGAAGGAGGATGGTCCTTACCTGGTTGATGATGGATTAAAAGTATGGTACCATTCTAATAGTGGTAAATTAGTTGTTTGATTGGTGTCGTAGTGGTGCAATCACAGTGGTATTTGGTTCAAACAAAGTACTTTTTCAAAATTAATGTCTAGTTCATCTAAATACATGTCAGTTAAAATTATTGGGAAAATAGATGATGGGTTCTTACAGCAATACCACAAAATCTAGATTGTACATTAACTGTTATAAAGGAAAAAAAAATCATTTCTTTATCCTCTATAAATACATCGTATATTGTTCTTATTCTTTATTTCTCTAAGGACTTCAAAAAGTAGCTCAAAGTGCTTCGTATTTCAATCATCTAAAAGGTGATCTCAATGGTTTATCAATATGTAGATTCCTTCAGCGTATGCAAAAATTTGATCAATGAGTTAGTTCCCCCATTCGTTCACAAACCTTTGCTTTCTTTATACAATTTTAAGTTATTGGTATCATGTATATCATAATCTCTACAACCCGGTAGGCTTTTCAATAACCACACTTGTATTTTATAATAACCAGCTAAATGATGGATCCCACTTACTACTACTTGTCTGCTCACTTCATGCTTTGAGCATCACTGTATTTCACAGATATTATAGTATTAATTGTTAGTGCAAGCAGACAAATGGGGATTTAGAATATGAGAAGTGCTATAATTGGCATTGAATTTCTCAAATAAGTAACATGGAGATAACTATTTTATGCATGGTTTGACTTGAAACGTTTTACTTGATTGTTTTTTAATCCAAAATGTCTATAGAAGTTATGTTTGGTACAAAGTTCCTAGTTCCCATTAGAGTAGGTTTAGCCCTAGTCATTCGTAATTTATTTTTTCTTCTTAGATGCATAAAGTGAGTGACTTCATTGTAACGCCCGAATAATTAAGCTACAGTAATCCCTGTTAATGGTGCTGTGTCATCATATTACTGTTGCTAATCTTTATTTGATCCAATTCATGATTCAAATTCAAAACCGAGTTTAAAGTCAAAATTCAAATTTGTCAAACGTGAAAACTAAAATGTTCAAAGTGTGGCAAACAATCCCTGGATATTTGTCATGTTGAAAACCATATTTTATAAAACTAAAAGTAAAATAAAATTAAAAGGGAAAACATAAACTTTTAAAGGAAAAAGGAATACAAAAAGAAAAGGGGAAGCCCCCTCCTCCCCTGGGCCTAGCCCACCTAGGTCGGCCCAGCAGTCCACCTCCCCCCAGGTCGCCTTCCTCCCCTGTTCCGCCGACCCAGCGCGCACCCGAGCGCGCTCCGCCGGACCACCTCGCCGCCCCCGCCAGTGGGATAAGGACACCGACGCGGCGCCTCCTCGGGCCCCCTCCCCACTTGCCCAGCTCCCTTTCTCGCCCCCTCGCCCCTCCCTCTCGTTCTCCACCTCCCCTCCTCCAGATC